TCTCACCTAATCTTAATAAGAATTATAAATATTTAGGCTTAATGTAGTTTCTTAACTATGTTTTGTTTTTATTGTTTAACCAAAGAATATGAACACCCTCTAACCAAATGAACCCTTTATGTTTAACTCAGATAGTGTAGGACTTTTGTAAAGATCCTAATAGTCTTACCATTTGCTTATGCATGGAGTATCAGTCCAGCAACCTGAAATTAATAGTGAATTCAAATGTTAATAAATTATTGATTTAAAATATTAAATTGTATTGACATTCTATATAAGTTTAGGAAAACCCTCAAAGACACTTTCAATTCTATGAGATGAAGAAAATATCAAATAAACTTTAGTTGAGACAAAAAAGGAAAACAAAAAAGAACATCTATGGTTTGATTTTCTTATCAGTAGAATGTTTGATTTTAATGAACATTGGTAGAGAATGTACATATACTTCAATAAACTATTCTTTAGTCCCCAAAGGGTGTCTCAATTGATAAAACTTCAAGTTGAAGATCTCGAATTTGAAACTTGAGGTAAATTGGGAGGGATTTTTGAAAGGAGAAGACTATAACTATTCTATACCTTGTTGTATAGTCCACTCGTCAAATATACCAACAAAAATCAACCAATCTCTAGCATCAAATGTCAATTGTAGCAGCATAAACCATAACCATGACAAAATATCATTACATCAGTGAGACTGTAAGAGCATTAGAAAGTATATAGAACTTAATGTAAGGGTATTACAAGGCACATTGAGCTTACTTGTATTAACTTTGTCACCTCCCAAATGAACGAACTTAAATTTAAAGATCTTACTGAAATCTGTAAAAAGAAATATCAATAACATTAATTTAATTTCATTTTTGAAGAATTTATTAAGAAAATATACTTATTGGAAGGAAGAAATATAATCCAGTGCAGAGTCAGTCATTTATGTTTTTATGCCAATTAGATCACCTGAAAGAATTCCATCTATCACTTGAAAAGTGAATTCATTACTGACATCAAGTGGCTGCTGACAGTAATTTGATGGCCATAAAGCAGGATAGCCGACCCTCCTAAAGAATAAGAAAAACAAGTTCAAAATCTATTGAATGATGGCAAAAATCTCTAATTTTAGTTCCTATTACCACTGATGGACAGATCATCTTGAGGAGTGCAACTGTGCAAGTGAAAAATACCAAGGAACAACGACCATGAACAAAAGTAATATTTTCTCCAGAATTGAACATTTCTATCTACCATATAGGAAGTCTATGCACCAACAACAAAATTTAACACTGCTTTATCACTAGAAAAATTAGTACTACCAGGAGAGTGCATGCCCAGGGACATCCAATTCAGCCATTACATTAATCCCTCGTTTTTGGGCATAACTGCAACAGTTGATAACCACCATATCAGGAACAAAAGAAGTATTCTTTCAGTGCAACCAAGTAGCAAAAGCACTTGCCTCACAATTTCAGCAGCATCAGCTATTGTATATCGTTCTGAGGCCGAATAAGCACCATTCCACAGCTTTGGATATGAAGGTATCTCCAACGGGAAAGATTGGGTATCTACAATGTGCCAGTGCAATACATTATGTGTGAAAGCAAGCAGAAAATATTATTGCATATGGGTGTCCAATGATGTTAGAAAATGTCTGCAACTGCAAGTAAAATATGAGGAATTTTAACTATACTTGGATTAAAAAAAAATGACTGGTAGGAGAATATCAACAGCAGGTAAGAAGGCAAGCAGCGAGATAAATGTTGAGTTAAAGGCATCATTGTCTCAGAATATGAGGATTCAATTTCATCGAACAAAATATGGCACTAATAAATAGGGAATCTGGTTAACCTGAAATAACATTGTCAGTAGTCAATTATGAATGCAAAAGCTTGCTGGGATGACATGAAGATACAAAATCACGATGATATCCACATGATTAAGAATCTATGCCCCAAAACACAAAAATCTCTAGGAAAGAAAATTTTCCTCACCTCCCAATGTGCCTTAGGAATGTACTCTAAAAACTTCCAATTTTAGCTCGCCTCTAGAAAGGTAGCTGATTCTGGTAAATAATTACCAACTACATGATGCCCTTAGGGCTACTTTATGCATACCAACAATATCATTCCAGTTAGCTTTTAAGATAAGTCCATATATTTCAACCTTTTTTGCCTATATCAAAAAGAAAAAAAGGTTATTTGGGCTACATGTGAACTCCTTCATTAAGTTGGAGTGTTATCTTGGTTAAACAAAGTTGTAGAGTAGATGGCTCATGCTCATGCTTACAACTCCATTTTGATGCTTTCTTGAGAGAGAAATCATTGGAAGATGGACAGATTATACTTCGTCATATATACAGGATTATGGCCTTTGTTGAAAATGAAGTCATAGTCATAAAATGAACAATGACTCATACTTCAAAATAAAGGAATTTAAAAGCAATGCCATATATATTATGCAGAGTGCAAAGGGATGCTGACTATGATAGAGAAAATAGAAGTACATAATTGTTGGGATTGTATTACATACCAGCTTTGCATAGGTCATGGAATCAATAACATTCTTAATGACGGGCAAAGGAAGATAGTGACGGGATGTATCTGCAAGATATTAATTTCAGTCAAGAACACATTAAAGAAAAGGACCTTATTAAGTCAAACAATCAGATTACCAGCCCAGTGCGTAGCCAATTCCAAAAACCAATATCATTAGAAAACTGGTCCCCCTATCCTGTAATCCACTTTAGGCAGATCAACAGTTTAATTACTATCAACAAAACCTTTCACCATTCTGGCTGCTGAAGATGTAATATGTTCAAAATTGGTACCAAAACAACATGCAATTTAAGTTTTAAGGGCTAATTGCTAAAACAAATACACCCACTTAACTCCTTGATTGCTTCCTTGTGACTCAAGTAGAAATACAATTATAATAGTTAACAGAGAACAACAACTCACTGATTGTGCAATAATCATCATATTTTCCAAGGAAATCCATGTGACCAATCACTTAAAGATGTCACAGAATGATAGAAGGGGAACATAAACAGCAGCTCACCAATTAAGAGGCCTCGATAAGAGAATCTTGGCTGATCAGTAATAGTCCAAGGTGACATATGAACTTCAATCACTCTACTTTTATAGTTAAAATGGCATAACTGGCTGAATGTCTGCAATAATCAATAACAAATATGTTAGGAATTTTGAAAATTTTAATAATGACAAAAAACAGGAAAGCTTTATAAACTTAATGCACTAACCTGAAGCCCATGTAAAGCTCCAAAAACTGTGTTTGCCTGCATTGTTTCACAATAAATTTGAGCTGACTCAGTTTATAAATTAATCAAAAATAGATAGTATCCAGCCCATTGCTCCACAATGCATGTGAACACACCCATCAAGCACAACACAAACGTTGAAATCATGCATTTTGCTTTGAGGTCAGGTAACAGAGAACTAATGTCCATACGTGAAACATGTTAAAATTTCCAAAGTAAATTTCCCAAAGAAGACCAACATTGGTAGCCAACTTCCCTGTGTGAAGACAATATCCTTACAACAATTCACTAAAATATCAAGTATTTTGCACAATGTACTTTTCATCATGGAAAATACCAAATATATGGTCCAACATGATTTGCCTTCATGCTTTTCAATGAAAATAGACCATAGAAACACGCTTGTAAAAGGATTTGTAGCCTAACAGTAAAGCTGTATGCCCTCATCCTTAGATGGGGTCAAATCCCTCCTCTCCCAATATCAACAAAGAAAAAGGAAAAGAAAAGGAAAATTAATTTTTTTTAAAAACATCTACATGTGACCCAACAAGTACAGACCTAATCCCAAAAAAGTACTTTCCTTTTTGCCCGACGCATCAAAATAAATTATACTGAGCACGGTCAAACAATCCCAGAGTAGTTTACAATAGATCAACGAAATCTTTGAACATATCAAAGCTAAACTAGAATAATTTAAAAGCTCGACAAAAACCCAACTACTTGATAATTAGGAAAGATGCCGGTATGTTTCCGATAATCAAAACCCAATATTTCCTAAAAGAGGGATTGACCATAGAAGAAAAAGGGTAAATTGGAAATACCTCAAGGTGGGCATAAGCTTGATTTTCCGGCGAAGGGACCATTAATTTGTAAGACTCATCAATGCCATATTGTAACTGCAAAGCAAATCTCCAAGTAAGCCCGAAATATCAAAAGCACAAAATTGAAATTTCGAAGAAGGAAATGCAATTGCCTGATCGTTTGGCGATGAAATCACAGCGTGCAATCCACTGAGCAGAGATGACTTATCGGAGAAATTACCGTCGACGACATGGCCATTATTGACCACAGCAAGCATCCTGTTGAAACCATCCTTCAATATCCCCGAAGCATCATTGTAGCCAGTCCCCTGAGTCAACAGCTCAAAGTCCTTACTCAAGTGAAGCCTCTTGTTACCGGAGCTCACCGACGCCGGCATTGGCCATATCTTCACGTCACCGGCACTCTCCGCCGGCGCCAACACAACCGCTAACACTACAACAACCAGCAACCACAATGCTCCCTCCATCTTCCTCTTCCTCTTCCTCTTCCTCATCTCTATCCTCTGCAAAAAATAAATAAATAAATAGACAATCAAATTAAAGATATTCTTAATTGCCTCCACGGATGGAAATGTGGGATACCTGTAATCTGAAGTGGATTTATTTACAAATTAAATTGAATAAATGAGAGAATCTCTTAGGGGTGGAGGTGGGAAGGAAGCATGCTTTGCTTGCGCAGCATTTCTATATTTATTTATTTTATTTACTTCATTTTTTATTTTTCTTGATCTGTGTCTGAATTGTGAAGGGGTGCAGCGCAGGAATGACTGAATGAGGAATCTTGCCCGTTCGAATCGGACGGTAATAAATGTAATGCGGCGGTGTTTGTTTTTTCGTTTCATCACGGGTAATTGTCTTGCGTGCGCGCCGCTGGGAAAATAGATAGTGAGAGCAATGCTAGGGGCACTCCCCTCTTGCACTCTCCGGCCAACACTTTCTCTTTTATTGGGCCACGTTATTTTGGTTCTCAGAAGTGCCCCTGAAAGCTTTAAAAGAAGCTTACGTGGCCCAATGAAAGGGGAAGTGTTGGCCGGAGAGTGCAAAAAGCGAGTGCCCCTACGACTGCTCTAGATAGTGATAGTGCGGCGTACAGACAGAAATTCAGCATTACGCCCTCTTTATAATTAAAGAAGGTTAAAACTCCATTTAGGTCCCTCAACTATTGTATAAATCCCTGATCTGATCCCTGAGTTAAAAAAATATTTGATTTGATCCTTACTGTTTACCATTTTAACTTTAATTTGGTCATTCTGTTAAAAATCCACTTATGTGTACAATTAATTGACGGGAAAATGATGACATGTGAACATATCTTAACACATAGGACTGATAATGTGATAAAAATACATGACTTGTAATTTTTAATTAAAAATTAAAGGTTAAATTATAAATAAAACTAAAATTACATTTTTACCCTCATCTTCAACCACACATTACTTTCTTTCCTTTCTCCTTTCAATATCCCTTACTTTTCATCTCCAACATTGTTCATCTTCTTCCCCTATATCCTTGTTTGCTGGCTTGGGTTTTAATCATCTCCTTATCATCTTTTTCCTTATCTCGTCTCCTCCATCTATCGAGAACCGGGTCCAATCGAACCCAGCATTTTGCTAGTCCTTGAGTTTTAATCATGGTTTTGAAACCCGAACCAATTATTGAATCAGTTTGGTTATCGATTCTTGGTTTTGACGGTTTGACCAGTTCAACCGGCCACCCGCCTGGGTCAATTGAAGAGTGCCTAAAATTATAGTTTTAAGTTCTGCAGTTTCTCACATTATTTGGCTATTGTGTTTTGCAATTTTTTTCCTTATAATTTCTAGCATTATATAATTATTTTCAGTTTAAATTAAATTTAATAGATATATAAATTCACATAATAATATTAAAAACAAATCCCAAAACAAAATATATATGAAAAAAAAGTTTTAAAATTAAGTAAATAAATAAAAAAATATCATACAACTAATTCATATAAAAATGTGATATATTTATAAGAACTCATTGCAGTGTATAGACATATATATAATTAACTATCATAAAAGTATCATACATTGTTTTTCATGTATGTCAAATTATTTTTTATGATAGTTAATTATATATATGTCTATGCATTATTTTTATAAGGTTAAATGCTAAATTTGGTCCCTCAACTTTAGTGAGTTGCACATTTTTGGTCCCTCAACAATTTTTTGCACTTTTTTAATCCCTCAACTATACAAAATGCACTCCGTTAATCCTTCTGTCAATTTGAACCGTTAACTCGACCACATGGCATTTTTTATATTTTTTTTAATGACATGGCGAGTATAACTTAAAAAGATGCTTATCTGGATTTTTTTTTTATGACATGTCATCTTCATCTTCACGCAAAACCCCTCCAATGGATTCCAGTTGCTTGCAACCTGATCTCTCATCTTCACCATCTGCAAAATCGATCTTCTTATTCTTTGAATGCTCTCTCATCTCCACTCCATCTGCAAAATCGATCTTAACTCATTTCTTCTTCTTCCGTGAATGCTTTCTCATCTCCACTTCATCTACAAAACCGATCTTAACCCACCCATTTCTTCTTCTTCTTCTTTTTTCTCAGGGAAACTTGAGCTACTGGGTTTCATTGAAACCTTAAACCTGGCAGATCTTATCAAATCAAAATTACCCTTCAATAAACAATACCAATCAAACTCTAATCGAATTTCAACAAAAATACAATCAAACTTTAATTAAATTCCAACAAAAATGCAATCAAATTATAAATCAATCTCCAAATATATTAACAACTGGAAATGGAAATCGAAAGAAGAACGAAAAAACAAGAACCAAGCTTTCCCAGCAAAGTTGGGTTCGGTTGAAGGCTGGGTTTCAACCGAACCCAGCAAGGCTGGGTTCGTCGAAACCCAAATCTGCTGGGTTCCGGCGAACCCAGCCTTGGTTGGTCGCGAACCCAACAAGGCTAGGTTTCAACCGAACCTAGCCTTGCTGGGTTTCAACCGAACCCAGCAAAGCTGGGTTCGTCGAAACCCAGATCTGCTGGGTTCCGGCGAACCCAGCCTTGGCTGGTCGCGAACCTAGCCTTGCTGGGTTTCAACTGAACCCAACAAAGCTGGGTTTGTCAAAACCCAAATCTACTGGGTTCCGATGAACCCAGCCTTGGCTGGTCGACGAACCCAGCAAGGCTGGGTTTCCACCGAACCCGAAAGAAAGAAAGAGAAAAAAAAGAAGGGGAAGAAGAGGGATTGGGAGGGTGAGGGTGAGGATGAGGGTAATAAAGTAATTTTATATGTTTTTAATTAAAATATGTATATTAATTTATGTGGCATTTTTATTTATTTATATAACATAATTATAATATATTAGTGCCACATCATCAAAAAAAATTAAAAAATAATGCCACATGAAATTATTTAACTGCCACATCACACTTAATTGACGGAGGGACCAAAACTGTGCAATTTTTAGAGTTAAGGGATAAAAAAAATGTAAAAAATTGTTAAGGGACCAAAAATGTGCATTTTGTAAAGTTGAGGGACTAAATTTAGCATTTAACCTTTTTATAAATATATCTATGATACCTCTTCAACCAATATAATGTGGCCTAATAAAAGTGAAACTGTTGGTTGGAGAGTGCACGAGGCGAGTGTCCCTAGTATTGCTGTACAATTAATTCCATCGCAATTGATCATCACTTCATCAGAACACAAACCATCATCAAGCGATTTAAAAAAAACAAAAACCCAATTATTGATCTTTCATGGCTCCTTTTCATGAAGTATAATACACGTAATCTATATCAACCTCTAATTTAATGGGTAGTTTTAGACAAGTCTTTCGATGAAGACTGATTTGATCTGCTGCCCTTTGGTTCCCGATCTGGAGATGCGATGGAGAAGCTGATCTGCTGCTGATCTAGAGATGCGAAGGAGAAGCGATCTGTTGCCGGATCTGCTACGGTGCTACCCTATGGTTTCTTCTTTGTTGATATGGCTGGAAAAGTGATGGAAAGTTGGAAACTAAAGAATCCAGAACAGTAATGGAGAACAACGATCAGATCTGGAAAAGCAATGGAGAGTGGAAAACTGATGGAGACTAGCGAATGGAGAAAAAACTACCAGATTTTGCTTTTGTGTTGGAAAAAGTGGGAAATCGTGAAAAAAAACTAAAAATGAAGTTGCAGTAGGCTTGCAGTGTCACGTCACAGTGGAAGATTTCGCACGGTCGGTTCACCGGGTCTACCGGGTTGGATAGGTCGGACAGTTCTTCCAAGTTTGGTCCAACCGTCTAAACAGGCTGCGGGCTTGGGTGTCCACCCGGCCCGTTTTGTCCACTAGTTGACGGTTCAACTGGTTGAATAGATCGGTCCGATCCGATTCTTAAAACACTGGTTTTAATCATCTACTAGGTTCGATTGAGAACCCAGTGATCTGCTGGCTGTTGGTCCTTGAGAACCCAGCGATTTGCTGGGTTGGGTTCGATCAAACCCAACATTTTGCTGGGTTCTTGAGAACCCAACAAATCGTTGGGTGCAGGTTCTTGAGCGATCTGCTAGGTTCTCGAGAACCCAACAACGATTTGCTGATCTACTGGGGGTTCGGAACCCAACAAATCTGTTAGGTTCCATCAAATGTAACAGTCGAACCCAGCGATACTTTAGTTGTGTTATTTTTTTTTTTTAGAAATTTGAGAAAAGATGTTGTGATTTTTCTAGGTTTAATTTAGGGTCAGTGACTATTATGAATTTATGTTTGGGTTTATGTTTATGTTATCTTTGGATTTAAATTTTTCTGGGTTTAATTTAGGACCAATAATTATTTTGGGGAGATTTTGGATTTATGTTTGGGTTTATGTGTGTGTTATCTTTGGATTTAATATTAGAAGGTATTAGGATTTGCAGAAGGCAAAAGGAAAGGAAGAGGATGAAGAAAGGGGAAAAGGAAGAAAAAAAAACTAGGAAAAGAAAATTTTTTAAGGTTTTTTCTTGCTATGTCAGTGTTTTTGCCACGCTGGATATCTTATGTGTTAAGATACTTTTACATGTCATCTTTTTTCATCAAATAATTGTACAGGTAGGCGGGTTTTTAACAGAAGGAACAAATGGAGTTAAAATGGTAAACAGTAAAGATCAAATCAGAGATTTTTTTAGTTTAGGGACCAAATTAAGGGTACATATAATAGTTGAGTGACAAAAATGGAGTTTTAACCATAAAATGTGATAATTGATTTTTTTAATTTAAAAATTTATTCATAA